CGCGTCGCTATGCCCCGGCGATGGCTCCCACTCAGGGCGCCTCCTCACGGCAGCCTCCCGGCGGCGAGCAGACCAGTCTTGGTCCTCGTCCTCACGCACCCCGCTCGACGCAACCTCAAGCTCCTCGTCCTTTCGTGGCTGCGGCGGCGGGCTCGCCCTACCCTTGCCACAGGCTGGCCTCACGGGCAGGGGCTTGGGCGGAGCTCTGCCTTTGCCCGCACCTGGCCATCCTTGGCCACTGTACGTCTCCTGGGGGTCGTCTGCCTCCGCCAGCGTCGCGACCCCCCTCGGCACCGCCTCTGACCTCAAACTCTGCTGGTGGGCCAGGACGAGCAGTTCGGCAGCGCTCTCCGTCTCCTCCTCGCCTCCTCCTGTTAGCCAGTGGCCCCAGGCCGGTGGGACCGCTGGCGTTGCTGCCTCCGTCCGCGAAAGCCCACGCCTGATCCCCGCCACTGCCAGTGCGCCAATGGCCATCGGCACCGTCATGCTGGCGCGGGTCTCTCGTGGCGCAGCTCGCCGGCCCTCTGAGCCAGCACTGCACTCCAGTGCCACGCCCTCCGCGCTGCCCGCAGCGAGGCGCGGGCGCCTCCGCGCCCGCCTCTTGCCCGCAGGCGACCAGCACCCCGCAGGGCGGACCCGGGCATTTGGGCCTATGGGCCACCAACCCGCCCACCCGCCGCCGTCCTGCCCGGCTGCGGGCCCAGCGGCGGCCACCCAGCGAGGTGGCGGCGCGGATCGTGAGGCTCCCCGCGAGCCGCCACCGTGGGACCGCCGGGCACCTGGGGCCTCTCTATGGCCCCGAGAAGCCCTTGAGCCCAAGCGGGCGGCGGACAGGCCCCGGGGGGAGGGAGAGGAAGGAAAGAGAGAGAGAGGGAGAGAGAGGGGCACTCCCCAGCACGTGGCCCAGCCTTGGTGGAAGCGTATGTCTGCGGCGCCCGGACTCTCATTCATGCGAGCAGCGCCAGGGAGCTGCGGGAGGCACGCTCAGGCTCCATCTTGAGGACTGAGGACTGAGGATGATGAGGGACCTGAGGGACTCCACCCCGCCAGTTTCAAGTGTGGAATGCGGAGATGAGGCCACCTAGGAAGCGAACTCTTGATGTCCAACAGCAGCTTTGAAATTCAGGGGGGGGTGGGAGGGGGAGCTTCGCAACGTATTTTCTGTATGAGTGCTGCTTACTTACTTCCGACTCCTGTGCCAAGGGCTCACCTCTCAGGGGGTCGCCGCCAGCCAGGGAAAACTCAGACATGCGAGCATCGGCCCATTTCTCGCACGACCTCATCGTGGCCCGCGAGTTTCGGAAGAGCTGCGCATTCTGGTGACCCCCAAATTGGTGCCCACTAACTACGACGGGGAGTGTGATACAGGGCATCATTTTTTGATGGCCTTGGGTTCCAACGGTGAGGCCCAGAAGCCGAAATAGAGGGAAGCCGCCTGGATTGAATTACTCCGGCCGTAGGACCCCACATGGGAATCTATTTGATTTCCTTGAGTCCCATCGTCCCTGTGATAGTGGAGGCCCTCCTCCTCTTGTCTCCTCCTCCTTCACTTCCTCCTACCTTCTCCCTACCTTCTCCCTACCTTCTCCCTGCCTTTTCCTTCTGCCACCTCCTCTTCCTCTTCCTCCTCCTCCTCCTGCTCTTCCTCCCCCTCCTCCTCCCCCTCCTCCTTCTCCTCCTCCAGTGGCGCACGAATCTATTTGCCTTGGCGTCGTCGCCGCCTCAACTGTCATGAACATGTCGCCGCTGAAGCTTCTCGACCTCCTGGTCGGTGTCGTGGTTTTGATCGTCCTCGTTCGCCTCCCTCTTCTCCTCCCTCTCCTCGTCCGCCTTCTCCTTCTCCTCATCCTCATCCGTCTTCCCTGTTCGTATCATCCGCCCTCCTCGTCCTCCCCCTCCTCCTCCTCGTTCTCTTCCTGCTTACCATACGGGGAGGGTTCCCGCTTGAAGCTTCCCCACGATTCACTCACAGACGAGGTTCCCGCTGGAGACTTCCTCAAGCTTCGTGCCTCAAGAGCTCCAGAGTGACGACAGGTACAGGCTTGCCGATGGCCGCCTCGGATTCGTAAAATGAAGTACGTTCCCCAGACGGGGAGGGTTCCCCCTCAAGACTTCGTCACGAACAGACGAGGCTCCCGCTGCAGACTTCACCATGCTTCGTGCCTCAAGAGCTCCACAGTGACGACAGGTACAGGTTTGCCGATGGCCGCCTCGGAGTAGTAAAAGAAAGTACGGTCCTCATACGGGGAGGGTTCTGTTCGAGGTTTGCCAATAGCCAATTCGGGTGAGCGACATTAAGTAGGGGCCCAATACGGGGAATGTTCCTGCTCGAGACTGCCTCACGGTTCTCTCGCTGACGACGCTCACGCTCGAGACTTTCGATGGCCGCCTCGGATTGCTAATTTTCCGTGCGGGCCTCAGGGAGTGGGTTCCTGCCCAAGACTTCCTCGCGGTTCAGTCTGTCAGGTGCCCGAAACCTTGTGGCTTCACAGGTTTTCCGATGGCCGCATTGCATTACTAGGATGAAGCGCTGGCTGCAAGGAAGGTAACTCCCGCCCGAGACTTCCTCACGAGTCACTCACAGACGACGCTCCTGCTCGAGACTTCCGATGGCCGCCTCGGCTTAGTGACATAAAGTGCGGGCCCCATAGGGAGGGGGCTCCCGCCGGATACCTCCTCGAGAGTCCGAATGTCAGGTCTTAGACGCCTGGCGGTTTTACACGTTTTTCGATTTCCGCTTCGGATTAGTAGCATCAAGCGCGAACCCCATACCCGCTCGAAACTTTCTCGGGACTCAGGTTGCCAGGCGTGAGAAGCCATATTGTTTTTACAGGTTTTCTGGCTGCCGCCTTGGGCTACTAACTTGAAGAGCGGGCCCCACCTGGAGAACGCACCCGCTCGAGACTTCCACGAGACTCAGGTTGCCAGGTGTGAGACAACTGATGTTTTTCCCTACCTAGGCTCTGCCTAGAAGGGTTCTTACCCTGTTGCTTAAAGGGCTGGGCAGTGGACCCCGCCCCGGGCGGTTCCCCCAGGATCCGCCCCGCGGTTCCCCCAGTGACGTTCCCTTAGCTTAGCGTTGCTTATCTCATCTTAGCTTAGCTTATTTCATCTTTGCTTAGCTTAGCTTCATCTTAGCTCAGGTTTATCTTAGCTTAGCTTAACTTACCTTCATCTTCACGTCGCTGAGCTTTAGCCTAGCAGAGCACATCATAGCATAGCATTGCGTAGCATAACATAGCGCAGCACAGCATATCATAGCATAGCCCATCATAGCATAGCATAGCATAGCGCAGCATAACATAGCATAGCATAGCGCAGCACAGCACAGCACAGCATAGCACAGCGCAGCATAGCATAGCATAACATAGCAGAGCATAGCATAGCATAGCATAGCATAGCGCAGCTTAGCATAGCATAGCATAGCATAGCATAGCATAGCATAGCATAGCATAGCATCGCATAGCATAGCATAGCATAGCATAACTTAAAATAACATAGCATAGCATAGCATAGCATAGCGCAGCATAGCAGAGCATAGCATAGCAACTAATGTTGCTTTCCTAGGGGCTCCAACTTCTAGGACGGGTCGCACTGGCGTAATTTTATCTAAGGTTTCCGATGGCCGCCTCGGATTACCAAAATGAAGTGCGGTCCCCATAGGGAGCGGGCTCCCGCTGGAGACTTCCTCGATCTTCAGGTTGCCCGGTGTGAGAAACCCGGTGGTTTCACAGGTTTTCAGATGGCCGCCTCGGATGATTGACATGAAGTGAGGGCCACATAGGGAGGGACCTCTCGCTCGAGACTGACTGGTAATCCACTCACAGACGAGGCTTCCGCTCGAGACTTCCGCAATCGGTATGTTGCTGTGATAACGAACGTATGAGTGCATGCTTGAGTGCGCGAGTTGAATGTATGAGTGTACGTATGGTGATGACGGCGACGACGACGATGATGATGATGGTGATGATGCTGACGATGACGGTGGTGATGCTGATGACGACGATGACGATGAGGATGATGATGTTGGTGATGAGAATGGCAGTGGCGCTAATGATGCTGATGTCGCTGACGATGACGATGCTTGTGATGACGATGGTGGTGATGGAGATGGTGATGGTGATGATGATGGCGACGAGGACGATGAGTGTGGTGATGATGAGGACGTCAATGGCGATGTTGATGTTGATGATGAGAAGTTTGATGACGCTGATGTTGATGCTGATGGTGCTGCTGATGATGACGATGCTGATAATGCTGATGATGCTGCTGCTGATGATGACGATGATGATGATGACGATGATGATGCTGCTGATGATGATGACGATGCTGCTGCTCATGATGACGGCGTTGATTATGATGATGGTGTTGCTGATGATATAGATGATGACGGAGCTGAGATGATGATGATGCTGCTGATGCTGATGCTGATGCTGCCACTGCTGATGAGGGTGAGGATGCTGCTAAGGATGTTGAGGATTCTTATGTTTATGGTCATTATGATGATGGTAGCGTGGATGATGATGAACATTATGATGATGATGATGATGATGATGATGATGCTGATGATGAAGATGATGATGATGATGATGATGATGATGATGATGATGATGATGATGATGATGATGATGATGATGATGATGATGAGGATGATGCTGGTGATGACGATGATGATGATGCTCAGGATGATGGTCCTGATGGTAATGACGATTACGATGATGCTGCTGCTGATGATGATGATGATGAGGATGATGAGGATGACTGTTACTGTGAGGAGGACGGTGGTGATGGCAGTGGAGGTGGTGACAATTCTAGTGACGGTGCGTGTGTTTCTCTGGTTCTTGCGCGTGGTGCCCAGAGACAACAAGAGCCCCATTTGGGATGTGGGAAACCAATCTGCCAGGGATTTGGGGGAAGGGGGCGGCAGGAAGAGGAGGAGGAGGAGGAGGAGGAAAAGGGGAGGACGAGGAAAGTGTGGATCAAGGGCGCAGCCGCGGAAGGCTCTGAGCGCCAAGATCTCCTGGAATAAGAGGCTCATGCCGATGGACAAGGCGGACCCGTGGTTTGCTTCGCCTTCCCTTTCTTCCCGCTTCCTCCTCTTTTCCTCTTCTATCTTTCTTTCCCTCTCCCCTTCCTCCTTCCTCCTTCCTGTTCCTTCTCTCATCCTTCTACTCCTCATCCCCTCCTCTCCTTCTCCTCCTTCTGCTTATCCCGCTCCTCCTGACTCCCCCCTTCTCAAGCTCCCCTCCTCCCACTCCTCCTCGTTCTTCTCCTTCGCCCCTCCCGCCTCTTCCCACTACCACTCCTCCTTGTCGCTGTTCTTCTCCTCATGCTCCTTCTCCTCCTGGCTCCTTTTACCTGTCTCTCTCTCTGTGCATTCTTTTTTCTCCCTCTCTCTCTTCCACTCTCTCCCCCTTTCTATTTATCTGTCGTTTTTTTCTGTTCTTTTCTTCTTCTCTCCTTCTCTCCTTGTCTCCTTCTCTCCTTCTCTCCTTCTCTCTCCCCCTTTGTCTCTCTCTCTCTCTCCTTCTGGTCCCCCTCTCTGTTTCTCCCCCCCCCCCCCTCTCTTCACGGGATCTGGTCCCGTGTTCCTCCGAGGCAAGGCCCCCACACTTGGGCACAGACTCAGCTTCGGCGTAAATGAGCTGGGCGAGCAGCAAGCGTGTAGCCCAGGCGGGCCTCCGCTCAGATCGTGCGCGGCCTTTCTTTCATTTTTTTTGTTGTCTCTATGTCTCTCTCTTTTTTTTTTGTTTATCTCTCTCTCTCTCTGTCTCCATCTCTCTCTCTCTCTCTTTCTGTCTCTCTCTCGCTCTCTCTTTCCTTGGGCGGAGGGGGAGGGGGAGGGTCCACGCACTGGCTCACGCCGCCAACGTGGCCCCTGGCGGGTCACTACGCCGGCGGCGTCGGAGCACACACCGCATCTCAGCGAGCCTCGTCGGGCAAGCGCGCGATGGGAGACGGAGGAGGAGGAGGAGGAGGAGGAGGAGGAGGAGGAGGAGGAGGAGGAGGAGGAGGAGGAGGAGGAAACCGGACTGCATGTAAGGGCGTGCGCGGTGACGGATATCGTGGAAGTGGCCGTCGATTCAACCAATCGGACAGGGTGCACGGCCTGGTGCAGAACGGCCAACGTGGTGAAACCCTGGCACTTCTACATCTCGTGGCGGTTGCGGAGTTCCCCATGCGCGTCTTCGTCGACAGCCAGGCCGTCCTCCAGGGCCTGGGCGGGGGCGACGCCCCAGAGGGACCCCACGCTGGCGTGTGGAACCGGAATCACAGCGCTGCCCCGTTTGAGGGGGCGGCTTTTCTCCGTGCGGAAGACGTGGCCAGCCACCTGGTTGAAGCTGGGGTGGACGCAAGACGTACCTCCGCCAGTCGCAGACCTCCAACGTCTCGAGAAACTCAAGGCGGAGATTTTTCAAAATTGTTGGCCTCTGGGGGCCCTCGCCGGGCCCTGGGGCCGTCAATGAAGAGCCGGTCCTCGGGAGAAGGTCCAGACCTCTGGGGACCCCGTTTTGAGAAACTTAAGTCGTCGGATGTCTGGATTGTGGAGTGCCAACATGGCAAGGTCGACGAGTTCGCCGTCCACATAGTGGCGAGCGATAGGGGCGGCCTCACCCAGATCGACGCCGGCCCAGGAGCCGCTGGCGCCGCCGCCCGCGCGTGGGGCGAGCCACGGTCTGATCGGGGCCACTTGGGCCTGCCGCCCGCACAGCGGCGAGCGCAAGCAGATGCAGGCCTCGTAGCCCCGACGAGGCCACCACGGCTGCTCCCTCCCGCGCTGACGCAACCGCGCCGACGACGCCCCCCAGCCGCGTCGACAGCCTCTCAGCCGACCCGTCCGCGCGCTGCGCCGCCAGCGCCGCTCCGCATAGCGCGGGCAGGCGTCTCGTCCCGCCGTCCTCGGTGTGCGGGCGCTCCGACGCCTCGGAGGCCCGTGCCCGCAGTCTCCACGCCGCCGCCGCCTGGCAGCGCAGCGAACGTCGGGCGCTGCTGGCCAGGCTCCAGGCGGGCCGCCCAGGCCCGAGGCTGGCCGCTTGCCGCAGCCGCGGCGAGCGCTGGCCAGGCGTGGCTCCCCGCGACGGATCGTCGGCCCCGGCAACGGCCGGCCCAGCAGATTTCTGGTCCGCCGCGACTCAGCGGGCCCCCTCGTGGCACCCCGACGGAGGGGAGCTCCCGAGGGGGGCCTTCGCGCCCTCCGTGGCAGAGGAGCGCCCGTGACCCTGGCGTTTGTGTGTCCGTCGTCACCCCACGCTGTGGACATTTTACGACGGTGCTGCGGCACCCCCCCCGCGGCTGTGTTCTCTCGTGGCCCCGTCGTGTCTTTCTCGCGCAGCTGCGTGCCGCGTGCATGAGCGCCCGCGACTCTCGGGGGCAGAAGCCCCTCTGCTTCTCAACTCAAAGTGATACGTGGATCGCTGGCCTGTGCAGCATGCGCGTGGACGAACCCGTCGTCCAATTGGTGATCTCGCCCTCGCTCTCTCTCTCTCTCTCTTTCTCTCTCTCTCTCTCTCTCCCTTCTCCTCCTGCCCGTTCTCCTTCCCTTCTTCCTTGTGTGTTGCCTGGTCAGGACCCCGATTAACGGACTGGCAAAGCCAATCCTGCCGCTCCTTCTGCTCCTTATCTTCCTCCTTACCCTTTCCGTTTCCTCCTCCCACTCCTCCCACTCCTCCCTTTTCCTCCTCTTCCTGCTCGTTATTCTCTCCTCCTCGTTCCTTCCCGCTTAACTATTTCCATCATTCTCGTTACCCTTCCCCTCTGACTCCTCGTTCTCCTCGTCCTTATCCTTCTGCTCCTCCTTCTCCTCGCGGTTCCCCTCCTCCTTCTCCTCCTCCTCCTCCTCCTCTTCCTCCTCCTCCTCTTCCTCCTCCTCCTCCTCCTCCTCCCCTCTGTCCATGTATCACCCTCTCCACCTACTCCTCTGTCTACCAATTCCCTACGACGCCGCATAGCAAGTTGGGCTATCGTCTCCGACTCGGCAAGCCTGGAGCGCGCAGAGCTGATCCCTTGCATCTCCCGTGGACCTGCTAGAGCCGAAGATAACAGAAACGGCAAGGCTTGGGGTTGCGCGCAGGCATCTCCCAGAGAAGCTCGGTCTGGTCTAAGCAGCCTCAGGGGCGCTCCTCGGTTTGGGGTGCTGATACCGTCCTGGACGACCCTTGGGGCCTGTTGAGTCCAGCCTGGACTACTTCAGGAGGGCTTTCCATGCGCAGCTCCAGGGACTGCCAGAGGGAGAGAGAGAGAGAGAGAACAAGAGAGAGAGAGAGAGAGAGAGAGCGAGGCGAGGACATAGATAGAGAACGAGAGGGAGAGTGTATGCATCTATGTATCCATACCATGTGTATTTGTATGTAGTTAGGTAAAATGCACATGCGTTTGTTCGTACATCTATCTATTCATCTAGCTTATCTTTCTCTTTCTCTTTCTTTCTTGCCACCGTGCCTGGGTTGTAGGTCAGAGGCCTGGGATGCCTGTGGGGATCTCTCGGAAGGCCTGTTGGAAGCCTCTTGGATTCCGTTTTGCTGTGTCTCGGGGGCTTCTCGGGGGTCTCGTCGAAGCCTCTTAGGGCTTGATCTTAGGGGCTTTCTTGAGCTTTGTGGGGGGCCTCTTGGGGGCTTACTGGCGGTCTCGGAGGCCATCTTGGGGCGACGAGCCTGAACTGTCGGTTCGTGCTCCTCCTCTAGGGTCTCTCTTAGGCCTCTCTCAGGGTTCTATTGGGCCGTCTTGGGGGCCCCTGGGGCTGTCTTGGGGCCATCCTCGTGGGTCGTCTGGTGGCGTTCTGGGACCTCTTGGGCCGACTTGGGGTGATCTTTGGGCTTTCTTGGGTTGTCTTGGAGCGTCGAAGTCAGAAAAAAGGCGGGAACATTAACAGCCTTCTAACGCCCAAGGTACATCAACGATTTTGGCAGCTCGGGGCATTCTTGGAGGCCTCTTGGAACCCTCTTGGGGCGTCTTGTGGGCCTCATGGGCCGTCGTGGAGCCATCTTGGGCGTCTTGGAGCGCTCTTGGGCTGTCTTGGATGCCTCTTGGGCCCTCTTGGGCACTTCTGGGGGCCTTCTTTGCTCGTCATAAGGGCCCCTCCCTGGGCCTGTGGAAAAGTCGCGCGTGAGCGCCACGAAGATTATTTTGTCTGGGCTCTCTGTCTCAAGCCGAGTAATTACAATACTGAGTACGGAGTACAGAAAATTCTTGAAGACCTGGGGAACATGGAGGTTCCAGAGCAGGTGAGAGAGGCAGTCGAGGAGATCATAGGAAGAGGCCACGGCAACGGAGATGATTCAGATCACTGGCGCAGAGGACGGCGAGGAAAGGATCCTCCATGCCCACCCTGGGACGGCAAAGGCCTCGGCGAGTGGCCCGAGATGCGTTGGATATCGATCGATGGAGCAGTTCGACGGCAATGCTGCCTGAGGAACAGGGAGAGACACTGCTACCGTATTTTATAGCGGAGGTGGCGACAGCGACGCGCGACGCGACACCTATGACCAGATTCTGTGCAATATGCCGGAGGGCTCCAAGCAATCATGCACGGACGCTATGGCTTTTCCCGAGGCAGCTGCGGAGACTTCCCAACGGCTTGATAAGACACTCTTCGCACCACTAAGGGCGAGAGATGATACGTTGATGGGCTTCAACCGAGTGCAGTATCATAAAAGGAGCGAGAGAGATGCTGAGCGACACGGTACACGGTTCCCTGTCACTACGGGGAGCAGGATTGGCCAAGACGGAGTGCAATTAATTCCTGATACGGACAAGGTACGACCACAACGCGAACGAGCTGAGCACGTTCTTGAAACGCATGACCGACGACAGCAACGTCAACGACAAGAACTCGGGCACCAAGACAGTCTACCTCGCAGCCATCGACGGGAACGAGCTGTGGAACTCAGAGGAGGGCGACGCCGTCGATACATTGCATGAAGCGAAGACGGCCAACTTAATCGGGCCCGAGCCCGAGGATGGGTCGGAGGACGAGGCGCTGCGATATGATGGGGGGGTTTTGACGGAGAGCGAGGCCCCGGACTGCCTCGCGGCCTTCGCATCATCCACTTCGGGGCCTCGCTCGTGGGGCGAGGCGCGAAGATTCATGGCCGACAACAGGGCGAATCGAGGTTTCCACATGATGAGGAACCGCCAGATGGTGGGGGGAGGGGTCGAGTGAATCCGTGAAGAAGAAGAAAACCAAGTACCGCGTCTACAAGCGGTGGGCCACTGGCATCGAGAGTGCCCCAGGGATCCCACGAGACAAGCTGATAGACAGAAGTCTGCACTAGGTTTCGTGGCCACGACGGTGCTCAAAGACGACGAGGTGTGCAGCTACATCCCCACGAAGACGATGATGGCGGCCAAGTCTAAGTTGTCGAGCGCATCGCCCTGGCCATAGTCATCGAGAGCTACGGCCGTGTCATGTGGCTTCAACGTGATGGGTCTTGGCACGTACGCTCAATGAGGTTAGCACCACAAGGATAAGCGCGGCATCGTATTGGAGACGATACCCCACCGCGAGATGTACCATTTTGAGAACGACAAGATCTGGTACGGCTACTGAGGGCGTCATCATGCCCGCCGTGCTTGGCAGGTTCGTCGGGGTCATCTTCGCGCGACTGATCAAGAGCGTTGCTGCGCTCTTCCGTTTGAAGACTCCCATAGTGGAATTGAAGGCCTCGCTGCGCGCCCTCAAGTCGGAGTTCGATCTTCCCGCAAAGAATGTGATATTACCGCTGGCGCTGGCCCGCGGTAAGCATGTCCTTTTGCAGCTGGATGCCTTCGAGAAGCCATGGGGGACGCATCCGGGTTGGACCTTGTGCGCGAAGGGGTCCCGACAGATTTCGACGCGAGCGTGAAGAACAAGCGTCCTTCGTTGTTCATCATCCGTCGCCGCGCGCGCCCATAATTTGGAAACTGTACGGTGGGTTCACACAGGGGGCCCCATGTAGGCCCACGAGGCCCACGAGGCCCACGGGGATGGTCAACTGTCCTGGACAGGAAGCCGCTAGACTATCCGCGCAACTGCGAGGAAGTAGAGGAGGACGTTGCATAATTTGCAGCATGCATTGCAGATAACGCAAGCCGTTGCAACGACAGGCCGATCGTCTCCGTCGGCAAGGTCAGCAATCAGCTTCACAGCATCGACAAGCAAAGCTACCACAACATCAACAAGCCCATGAGTAACAGCAGTGCCACCAGACAACGTCCTCAGCAACGTGGGCATTTTCCGTGGCCCGCCCGGCCCGATCACAAGAGCTAGCTCCGCCAGGGCACCGCTTCACACGTGGCGCAGTCTCTAGTCATGCCCGCGCGTCGTGCGACGAGCCCCTGGGGCGAACGTCGAGGACTGGGAGCTGGGGAGAAAGACCGCCGCCGGCCAGGCAGCGACGCTGGCGCCCAGAGCGCCTCCGTGACGGACCGCAGTACCTACGAGCAGTGCATCGCGATCCAGCTGGACGACGACCCGGCGGGCTGGGAGGAACTGGGGGAGGGGCTTCAGGCGCGGGCGAGCTGTTTCTGCACCGGGGCGCTGGGGGCGCTGAGGTGGCCTATGATGGGCGAGAACGCGAACGAGACGACCGACTTGCTGGTCGAGGGCTTGCGCAGGCACCTCGGGGTGGACATCGGCAAAGACTGTGGGATTTCGGGCGCGAGAAGAGAAGCTCACCGCGTGTTCCATCCAGGATCTGGACGACAGGAGAAGCTGATCGGTGTGATCGCCAGCGTGATCCACGGGGGCTCAGCGTTTGTCAGCCTCCTCGCGGAGAAGATAGAGGACGACTGCGAGCGCCTGGCAGTGGGCGGCCGATCGGGAAAGCCAGGCGACGCCGTCCAGTGGTGGCTCTCTCGGGACATCGCTCATTGGCGCGCGACGGGCAGGCCGAGGCGTCGATGCAGATCGAGAGGTCCATGCCACTGCTCGTCGTCCTCAAGCATCCTAGGGAGATCTTCAACTAGCAGCTTAAGGAGCAAGCCTGACGGCAGATGGTGACCTTCATGGCCGACGTCGCGATCGAGCAGGCACTCGAGAGCACCCCTAGAATCGGGCGACCCACTAGTCACCAAGCTCGAGCGCCTACCTGGGGTGCAGATGGGGCAGACCAACTCGACGCATCGAAGATGCATGGCGCACGTGTCTGGTGGCCCGCAGGATCCGCGAAGATGCTGTGTCAGGAGAGCCGGCAGCGGAACCCAGCGCAAGTTGTGAGACATTCCTCAGCAACTTCAAGAGCTGGTCGGGGTCCTGGCGCGGACAGTCGTCACGGGCAAAAAAGATGGCTTTCGAGGGCCGCGCCGACCGGCGCCAGTGGGGGGCGCGCGGACAGCAGGCGCGCGCCGTGTGGTGCCGCCCCAGCCGAGAACCACAAGACAAAGAGAAGGGCATGCCCCCAGATCGTGAAGTCTCGTGAAGATTCACGAGATCATTGGTCAGTGCAGCAACGAGAACCTCGTCATGGTCCTAAAGTGCGGCAAGGCGCGGCAGGCGTCTGTCGAGGCAGTTCGTCGCTTGACCTGTCCGACTTGCGCGGCCAGCAAACGACCGAGGCTTGCCAGACCCTCCAAATCATTTGGGGTGTTCCAGTGCAACGACGTGATCGGCGTGGTCATGTCCTTCTGTGCTCGGCCCCGCGACACCCCGCATGCTCCCATGCCAAACGTCGTGTGCCGCTGGCCTGGCAATCAGATCGCAGTTCCTCTGCCGAGCCGACGTGGTCACTGCCCCATGAGGTGCGATCCATCTTTCAGGGGGCGAGTGCATGGCTCGCCAAGGGTCATGGTGATTGTTGGCGGCGATAGTTTCGTCGATGGGCGAGTATCCAGATGCAGTGCAAGGTGACGGAGCCCGGGCGCAGGTGGCCAGTTCAGTTTCGCCCTGGCTGGCGGGCGAAACAGAGCGGGCAGGAGGTTCTTGGGAGGGCGCGTTGTACCGCGCGAAGCAAAAGTTTAACGCCGACAACTGGGGCGACTTCTATGAGCGCGTCGATCTGGCCGACGCGGCGGTCAGCGAGCTCGTGCGGCGAAGTGGTTTCACGCTGTGCCGGCGCCTGTTTGGGCGTCCTTTCCAACTGTCCGAAGTGGGTTCTGGAGGGCGTTTCGCCGAGCTCGTCGACAGTATCTCGGGCCATGGGCGACGACGCTGGGTTGGCTCGGTGCGCCGATGTGCGCGAGGCAGCGATTGCAGGTTACATCTTGGAAGAATGCTCCGTTAAGTGGCGGCGAGCACTCAGCCGCAGGACTCGACGACCTCGCGGGACTTCGTTTCTGCAGGGGCGTCGGTGCAATGCCCGGCGAAACAGCGCAGTCGAGTTGCCCGTCAACTCGTGGCGCGGCCCCACCGCCCCGGCGGAGTTGCCGTGCGCGGCGTGGTGTTCCTGCAGGGGGGGGGGGGGGGGGGCCCTGCCGATGTTCTCTCCCGAGCAGCTGCGTCGCGCCAGCGAGAGCGGGGCGACCGCCGGGGGGGGGGGCGACAACTTGATGCGCGAGGACATCGGCGCCAAGAACCGTGGCAGGCGCAAGTGCGAGACCTCGCCAGGCAGGAGATGCCCGCCGACAAGGCCGAGACGGATGTACTGCGCGTCTCGCCACCTGTGCCTGCAGGCGGCGATCAACTACCATCGCCCTTCCAACCTCTTACTCAGGATATCGCTCGCTCGATCGAGGTCTGGCCCGATCCCGCGCCCGCGGAGGCAGAGCGCGACGTCCGCGTCGGCGACGTAGCGGTCGCGATCTTGCAGACCATGGGCCCCCTGTCGGGTGCCGCCCCCGTGGCTCAGGAGATCGCCCTCATCCAGAGGAGCGTCGACATGGAGGCGCCAGAGCCGCCCGAGAAGACATGCAAGAAGGCGAATGTAACATGTGCGCCGGCTCTCTGGACGAGCGCGAACCAGGGGGCCAGGGGGGAGATCGCCGAGAAGTCTTTTCTGGTACCAGTCCCGCATGTGAGTTGAGCCTGGCGCGAGGGTGGGACATCTTGCGAGCCGAATATGTGCGTGCATTGTCCCTGGCGGCGGCAGATTCAGATCGGCGAGATCCAGAAATCCCCCTCGCGTTATGGGCCCCAGGTGGACGTTGACTGACGAGGGCGCCGGTCCCGGCGAGGCTGGCGCCGGCAAGAAGTCACTGCTCTTCATGGGCGACGGTGCTGGGACAACGGCTGAGGATCGGTGGGCGGTGCAGGGGCGTGCCGATCCCAACCTCCTCGACCCGGTGACCTACTGCTCCTGTTTCGTCGAGGGTTCGGTGTTCCTCGTGTTCCAGATCTTGCGCGCCAGCTGGTGGGCCCTGCAGCTCGCCGACGCCGCCGCTGCTTTCTCTGCGGGTGGCCCTCTCGGCAGAACGCAGGGGCGCCCATTCGTTGGGTTGCCCCGCGCAGGCGCTCCCGACGTGGAGACTGGCCCGCTGGCGAAATATCTCAAGGCTGTCGACGGTTTGGGAAACGCACCAGTCCAGCAGTTTTTTTTTGTTGGGCCAAGTTCGCGAAGGAGATCGGCTTCAAGTGTTCCATCTTCGACGGTTGCGTCGTCTGCGTGAGGGGCGAAAAGGGCTTGCGCGGCGTCGTGGGCATCGGGGTGGGCGAGGTCGTCGGTGGAGGCAGTGCCCGGTTCGGCGCGGCATGCGAGATGCTGCGACGGTGTATTCCCTTGGGACCTTGGCGCCACAAGAAAAGAAAGTACGCGGGCAGGGATCTGGTTCATGGCGGGGTCGCGGTGTCCCAGAGCAAGAGCTCGGCCAACGTCCAGCCGATCGACATCGCCGCCGAGCGTCACAAGGGCCCGCGGGATCCTGTCATTCGAGGAGCTTGCGCGGCTCGCTCTCTTCTCTTAGCCCGAGGGGGCCAGCCTGATCTGGCAGGTCCAGTGTGTCTGCGTCAAGGTGAGAAGCCCAACTGCTTCGTGGTCGACCTGTTGGAGGCCCATCGCATATGGCGCTTGACGAAGGAGTATCACAAGGTATAGCTCGAGGTTTTTCATATGCCTTACCACGAGCTGGGTTTCGCGACTTTCAGGGGCGCGGCGTGGGCACGTGCCAGATGCGGAGCTTCTCAGACAAGCTACATCGCGCTCGCGACCAGTCGGAGCATCCCCAAGGGCGAGTCGGCACCACGCTCGATCCAGTTATGGCAGGGTCACAAGCTGAGGAGGAAGTGTGCTCGCCAGCTTGGTGCCAGGGCCTATGCTATGTTCGAGGGCCTGGCCATGGTAGAGGTCGCTCGGGCCATGCTGCTCGAGATCGTGAATCCCGAGTTCGACCTGATGCGATCCTATCTCTTGGAAGGGCGCTTTCCTGTGGTTAGCGTCGCCGACTCCAGTGGCGGCTACGACCGGGTGGCCAAACCCGAGGCTTGCCTGGCGGGGGGCAACAGAGCCGCGATGGACGTGGCCGCCGTGCGTTCAGTCATGCAGCGACCTCAACTCCATTTTCTTTGGATCGAGGGTACCTTTCAGATCCCGGACCCACTCACGAAACGTACGAGAGGGGGATCGCACCTTACTTTGACATGCCCTAGACATCGGCGAGTGCGGCATCACCGCAGACAGCGTCGTTCCACAACGGCGGGGGGAGGATCGTCAATGGAGGAAAGTAGAGGCCACTGACGCGTGCTCGGTGCCATGCTGCTACGCGGGTCTGGACTTCTACGACATGGACTGCACGGGTGGCCCGCGGCACGATTACGACAATGGCGACCAAAACAACGAACCCGCGGCGCATCGACGGAATCGCGAGGCTCGGGAGGGCTACGTGGCCCAGACTACGGCCCATATTTCGCGTACCTCGAGGGGCTCAGCGGGTTCTGAGCCGTAGGCTACGATCCGTGTGACTCGTAAAGCATGACGAGTGCTTTCTGTGCGCTCGCAGTTTCGCTCAGAACCTGTAGCCCCTTTCCTAAGCCATGTAGGCTTCGGGGAAGGGGGTTTGGCGGCCCCTTTCCAGGAGCGCAGCTGATGTGCTGAAAGGTACTGGCTATATCACCTCTCTCTCTCTCTCGCTCTCGCTCTCGCTCTCTCTCTCTCTCTCCATCTCTCTCTCTCTCTCTCTCCCTTTCTTTCTCGCTCTCTCTCTCTCTCTTTCCCTCTCTCTCTCCCTTTCTCTTTGTGTCTTTTTGCATGGTATCATTCTATCTGCCATCATCCACCCACATCAACGTCGCCGATGCATCGGCGATGCATCGGCGATTCGGCGCGGTCCTTTTACCCCATGTGCTCTGCTCCCATCTACAGAAGGCCTCTATACCACGACTCGGAGATGTCAGGGTCTTCTGGGGGAGGGGCGCGGGGATGGGGAAACTGGTTCGCACGCCGAGGGCCGCAGCGGGGCAGGCGAGGAGGTGCCGAGGGCCTGCTTCAACGGCCCCTTGGCCGATGCGCCCTGCACGCCCCGCCTCCTCGGCGTGCCTCGCGGCCTGGGCATTTCGTGTACATCTGGCTGTGCATGTCGGGTCGGGCGACAAAAACTCCGCGGCGAGCCCAGGGGGCAGGCCTTCTCAGAAGGCTCGGGAGGCCTCGGGCCTTCGGGGAAGCTTCCCAAGCCTTCTCCGAATACGTGGATGGCTTCCCAGAAGGTCGGAGGGCTTCTGGGAAGCCCCGGCCCCGCCGCCTTCTGAGAATGCCTGCCCCCTCTCACTTCCCCTCCCGGGCGCGCCAGCCGAAGGAGGGGAGTGGGAAAGGCGGGGGGGGATACGAAAATTGCGGCATGCAGCTGCTTTCGGCACCGCAGGCTGGGCAGTTTCCTTGATGCATCGGCGCCTCTGGCGCTGGGGGCGCAGCGAAATCGAGCTACGTGAGCTGTTGATGTGTAGTGGGTGCGTCAAAGGAGAGGCTGATCGCCCGCAGCTTCCGCACAGGAATTCCCTATTCCCGGAGGCATATGGCGCCGGATCGGGTGTTGTCAGAGGTGCCCCTGGCCCAAGGTGCTCCCAGCTTTCCGCTCCACTTTGGAGCTCCTGGGGCCATCAGGAGCGTCGTCAGGAGTGCTCTGGAGGCCGTGTGAGGGCGCCTTGGAAATCCTGGGTGCACCTCAGGCGAGGGATACTTCTGGACCCCCCCGACGTGAAGAAGTTCGAAGGCCGGCGGGAGGCGCAGCCCTAGGTACACAGCACGATGTGTGATCGCATGCGTTTGCTGTATCAGCTCCCCGCGATTCAGGGATCTAGGCTGCCGCCTGTCTCTGTGCGCGCCCGCCAGTACTACACCGTCGCCATGGAGCTGGCTGGCATGATTGCGAAGTTTAATCTGGACCGCCGGGGCCTGAGAGGAAAAGAAAAGGTGGAGGCACATAGACGATGAACAGGAACATCGAGGAGAAAGGGAAAGGGACGGACGAGGATCACGGAGGAAGCGGAGGAGGACGATCGAGGGTTATGATGATGAGGAGGAGGAAGAGGAGGAAGAAGAGGAAAAGGATAAACAATCAGATCAGATGGGTCGTGATGAACATGATGATGCGGAGGATGAACAGGAGGAACATCGTTGTGATTTTGGTACGGAGGAGCCGCAGTTGAAATATTTCGAGGAGGATTAGGAAAGGGGGGGGAGGAGGAGGAGGAGGAGGAGGAGGAGGAGCAGAAGCGGGAGCAGGATGATGATGAGGAGCAGGAGCAGGAGGAGGAGGAAGAGGAGGAGGAGGAGGAATAGGAAACGGTGTTAGAAGATGTGGCTGCGACTGAGTGAAGCGCTCAACTAAGTATGAACGTCGAGCGGCCGTCGTTACCGACGCCGTTTGGCTCAATTACTTATCAGTGGAGCGTTGGCCTCGCCCCGCTGTTGAAATAACATCGCCAACAATATTTGATTCGTTCTCGTACAATACCTTGCCCAGGATGTGTATGATAGCAGAGCGAGGTTAATGGGGGCGGCAGCAGCAGCGGCCTCTGCCCCTGCACATCCAGGATATCCACCTCCAGAGTTAACATTCCCCAAGACCGAGATCATTGCTCAATCTGAACCCAGAGAGATTCAGTGAGCTGCGTGAGGCAGCACACAACGGAGGCGACTACAGCTACGTGAAAATGGCGTTACGATCCTTCCATGAAGGGATGAACGAGTTCATTGAGAGACAGACGGCAGCAGGGTATAGAACCGCCACTGACGAGGCAGCGATGGTCTCTTACTCATGACTCCGACAATGCAGCCGTTACTACTGATCATCGTGCACCGCAGCATCTACGTTGAAGGAGAATCTGCGAAACTGCAGGTGAGGGCTGAAAACTTAGCGGATCGGACGAACGTATAAAAGACAATGGACCAAGTAACCAAGATAGCGGAAACGATTGCGAATTTGTAGGAAACAGAAGGAGAACAACTGGTTAGCGAATACACAACCACGCAACGGGTCAAGACGTTCTCAGGGTGCCGGACCAAGTTTCGCGAATGGAGCGAGAATTGCTGAACGCCCTGGCACAATTGGATCCCCAATGTCGAAAAGCGTTTAAGGGCTTGGGTGACAAACTAGATACCATGGATGGAACGCTGCATGACCAGGACGACGACGGCATGTTCAGGATTCTTGACGGCCGGCTTATCGGCTTAGGAGTGTATTGCAGTTGGTCGGGTGAACAGTAGGAGGATGTCGACAAAGTAGAATTTTTCTATCAGCGAGAACATGGTACATGGGTTAATTGAACACATTTGGTACGTGTTCAATGACAAGCTTGACGGGGTAGAAACTGGAGGAAAGAGAAGAGGCTCCGGGAAGGAGATTGACATCAGGTGTACATGGAAATCTATTATTTGTATTCTGCAGTTTTTGGTGTTCTCCTGTCAGCCGAGATGATCTTGGAACCGGACCCCGACAAACCAGAGAACATGGGTGACGTGGCCACCCAGCTGGCGCAGTGGGCGGCCTTGGTAGAAACGCTAGGAAAAGATGGCCCAGCTTGCTCGTTGAACATCCCTTTCAGTGTCATGGCGCTGAGGGCGATCATGACTCGCGCCAGGGGCTGGTTCGAGGGCCGGCGCCAGGGGCGTTGTGAGATCAGATCGAAGACGAAGGTGGAAATGCAGGTGAGAAGATGGCGAATGGGCAGTGCATTGACAGGAAGAGCCCAGGGGAGGGCGTCAGCTACAGTGGGTATAGCGGCAAAGGGCCCGGAGGATGGAGCAAGGGGGGAGTCGTTCCCATGGGCGATCGTGAGATTTGCGTGCGTGGGAAAAAGAGACCGGTGCGCAGAGAGGAGCAAACCAAATTGTGCAGCATGAGGAGGCAGGGCAGGAGTTAGACAACCATGGGGGCACAGCCGGAGCGCGAAGCATTTCCCTGGGACAACCCGTGCCAGGCTTTTACGAAGTGGATGCGTCCCGTGACCCACCTGGGTTAAGCGGTTGGACTCAGCAGTATCGCGAAATAACGAGGAACGACCGATTAAAGACATCGGAAGGGGCGCAATTATGGTAAGCATGCGCGTTGCCCCGGAGTCTGCAAGAGGGAAACATTGACAGCAACAATTCGTCGAAGTGCAGTTCTTGGAAGCCCCTGGAGTCTGCCATAAAGTTAACGCCGCCCCCACAAAGGAAACCCGGGGTCGCGCGAGACCGTAGTAGTTGCGCTGGGCCCAGGCGCGTGTAATGCCGTGGGGCCGCGTCCCAGTCGCGCCAGCGGAGGCATCGCGGGCGGGGAGACGTTGCAGCGCCGCCAATTGAACGGTCATTAGGAACTACGGACAAAAGGGTTATAGCGGGGGACTGCGAGCAGGCGGCGTGAGTGAGCATGCCCGTGCAAGTAGCAGGCGTTAAGAAAGCACTGGGGTCAGCCCGAGAGTTGGTGGGGGCAGGAAATCGGACGGTGCTCGATCGCGACGAGATGGGGCGTCCATGCAGTTGCATGGGACACAGGGCAATTGGACAGCGAACGATGGCGCGCGAGCGAGGCGGCGCGTGCCAGTCCGACAGTAAGGTGCCACCAGGGGCGCGTAGCCAAAGGTCTGCGGGAGCAGTGGAGGAGGTCGCAGATGAAGAGGATGTCCGAGGCGGAGAATCCTCGCGGAGGACTCGTTCCATTGAATCCGCCGTGGCCACTGAGCCCCGAGAACGCGCTCATTATCTCGGGCTTAGATGATGAAGGAGATGGCGGGGCGAGGCAGCGAGTTGAGTGAAGTGGAAGACGTATCCGTCGCGGAAGGAGAAGAAGAAGTGCATTGCGATGTGAGGTCCAGCCAGTAGGCAGTAGACGCTCATAATGCAGCGCACCCCCCTCGCCGCAGCCGGCGCTCCCACTGCGTCGGAGGATGGGCCCGGCAGGGGGGGCATCCCGATCCCCGCCATCCCGGGTCCGAAGGGATCAGCATACATCCCCATCTGGTGGGGTTAATCGGCCAGTGGGGCCCAGGCCACGCCAGTGGGGATAGGGATCGGTTGAACAATGCTCAGGAGCGGCCCCGTACCCCTGTCTGGCCCAGGTGCGGTGCGCACCAGACTCGGCACCAGCCCTCGCCCACTTGTGCTCCCACTTCCGCCTCGCCGCGCCGCTGGCGCCCGGCCCGTTCTCTGCGATCCTGGCGTCGCAGTTTTTTCGAGCCTTTCGTTTTCGGCTACTTGAAAGGCCCTGCGACCCTCACGGATCGATCCGGCTGGAAAAATCCCGGGTAGCTCGTAGAGAGCTAGGATGGTTTCAGATTAGAAGCCCTGCAGCTCTTTCCGGCGCCGGGCAGGTATCCCCAGAGCGGCCTGCTGGAATTTGAACAGCGTGTTCTGGCAAGCGTTTTCCTACTCGTTCCCACTGCGCGTGCCAGAAGCCTTTCCGCAGCTCGTTCGAAGTTCCTCGGGAGCTCCTGCGAAGCTCCTTTTCCCGAGCTTGCAAGCTCCCCAGGCATGCTTTCCAACAGGCATTTCACGCGCTTTTCACTGCGACGCTATCCGGGTTTTGGACGCCACAAGTGGCCTGGGAAGCTGGGGTCTGTGGCTCCGGCCGTGGTTTTCACATTGCGACGTGGCAAGGCTTTTTCCCACGTCGGATCTCAGGGCTTTCGCTTCCCCGCCGACGGCCGCAGCCCTTCCAGGTACCGAGCGGGGAGCCCTTCCGCCTGTCTCCACGGAGGCGCCCCCGAGGCCCCTGGAGCCCCTCCCCCGCACCCAGAGGCCCCGGGAGGCGCCCAGAGCGAACCCCGGCCTCCCGTCGCCAGGGGGGAAGAGGGGCCAGGCCGTCGCTGGCGCCGTAGTCGGCGTGGGCTCATTCATTATGTTAGGTTTGCTTGTCCTTCGCGTATTCGGCGCGCTGGATGGTATTGTTGCGTATCTGGCGCAGCCCAACAAAAAGAATGAGGGAGCCCAGGCCTTCCAGGCCCCCCGAGACCAGGATATCGACGAACCAGGACATTGGCAAGTCGGGGAAACGGCACCCGTTCCCGCATAATCAGATTTGGTCGTAGTTTTTTTGTTGCTGCCCTACAGGATTCGGGCCTTTGTCCAGGTCCTGGGAGGGGCTTCCGCAAGCTTTTAGGGCCCGTGACTGGTTTTTTGTTTTCCGGGAGTGTTGCAGTGCAGTGCTTTTCAGTGCCACCGTCTGGAAAACAATTGTTTAGATAGATGTTGGGTGTCTCAGTCTAGCGTTTCCGGATTTGTGGGGCCCTCCGAGATCGGGTCGGCGTAGATGGGGTCGGAGGATCGCGCCGCATCGCTGATGCATCGGCGATGCGGCTCGATGTGCAGTCAGATTTTCTCCACGCCGACGTCGCCGATGCATCAGTGATTCAGTGGCGATGCGTCGCGATCTTCCGAGCCCATCTGTTCTGACCCCATCTGGAAGGCCTTTGGGGAAGGCCAGCAATGTGCACAAACGTCAACGCTCGTCGTCGTCGTCGTCGTCGTCGTCGTCGTCGTCGCCGTCACCGTCAGCCTCTTGTCCAGTGGCGACGGCAGGATCAGCAACTTCGTGTAGCCGTAGCCGAGACGCTCGTAGTCCGTAGGCTGATGATGTATGGAGGTGGAGGAGGATGGGCACGAAGAAGAGGAGGAGGAGGAGGAGGAGGAGGAGGAGGGAGAGGATGATCAACAGGAATCGAGGAACCGAAAACATCGATTGGGGCAACGCGGATCAGCGACGGGTACCGTCTCCATACGAAATCGGCAGGCTCCGCCGCCAAGCAGGACGGCCCCGGCTTCACGCTTCGGGGTGCCTTCCCAGTTCGTGGATCTGGCGCCTACGCGCCAGATCCACGGATCCCTAATCCACACGGCTGCCCTGATGCGCCCGTTTTGAAGCCCAGTGCGTACCGTGTTCAACACGTCCGTGTCAGCACGCTCTGCCCAACGTCTCGGCCCACGTTTCGGCGAAGGCGTCGCGCCGAACGTGCGCTCTCAGTGTGCGTGCTGAGCTCCGTGTCAACACGCTGCGGGCTGCGTGCTGCGCACCGGGGCAGCCAAGCTGAGCTATGCTGGCGTGCGCCCGAAGGAGGGCGGCCATAGTTCAGGAGGAGAAAGACCACACAGACCCAATTAGTCGTCGATTCCCCAGAAAATATGTGAAAATATGGGCAGTGGGGGGGAAGACAGAAACCCAGAAAACATGGCAAACTATAGGGAATCTGCTTATTTGTGTGTATTTACTTGTGTGCCCCAGGGCCCCTTCAGCTAGGCTATGCCAAGCGTGCGCCCGAAGGAGGGCGGCCACAGCTCCCACCCCCCGCAGTGCGCACACGCACGGGGCGCTGCCAGTGCGCCCGCCCGCCCCAGGCTCCTCCTCCCTCTGGAGGCCGCTGCGGGCCAGCGCCCGCCCCGAAGGATGTGGGAGACCCACCGAGCGTGAGCTGCGCGGCAGCGGCTCCACATACGAGGTCGTCGGCTCGGGGGAGGTTGCCCGAGTCCTCCTCCCTCCGGAGGCCGATGCGGGCCAGCGCCTGCCCCGAAGGCGCAAGGAGACCCACTGAGTGTGAGCTGGGCAGCAGCGGCTCTACGTACGGTCGGGCCGAGATCGAGGTCGTCGGCTCGGGGGAGGTTACCCTACTGCTCTTCGTGCTTGTTGGATGCTCTTGTTCGTCTTTGGGGAGGGCGTTCTTCGTGCTTGGGGCGTTCTGGCCGGTGGAGGGTCTTGTGTTCTTGGAGGATGTTCTTCTGTCATAGGTCCGACTGTACATGGAGATGCGTATGCAGCGACTCGGCTGCGTAGCTAGGGGAACAAGCAATGACATAAGCGTGACGACTCGGAGGTCCGCGCGTGTTTCTTGGATCGGCGCTGGGGCCCCCTGGCGGCCCCAGCCCCAGCGCGCTCCGCGGGCCGGGGAGGGGGGTCCGACGCCGATCCGAGAGATCCGCGCCGACCTCGAAGTTTGTTGCCTTCGGAGTCTCCTGCGTAACGTTGCAGTGCGCCATGGGTTTGGGAGGGAGCCACCTCCCATTTCACGAGCCGGTGGGCAGTTTTCAGAAGAAGCTGCCTGGCGCTGGAGCGTCAGCACGAGCGTCACCGTCCGTGCAGCTGCTGGAGTTTTCTAAGCGTGCCATTCGAGAGAGCATCACGCGATGGATCGATATCGAAAGAGGCCGCCCTGCATCCATGTAGTTGTTACAAGCTTCGAGCCTTAGAACGGCAGGCGGGTGGAAGAGTGGACGGGATGATAATAGTAATTCAAGTGACATCGTCAGAATGATAAGAGGAGGGGGGCTATGATAACCAGAGTGGGGAAGAGGACGATGAGGATGATGATGAGGATGGGGAGGAGCAACAACAGAAGGAGGGTTTAACCGCGGTGGCGACGGTAGCGCCCATGGGGGCTGCTGGGCATCGCGCGGAGCGGCAACCCGCCTGGCCTCCCAGGGACGCAAGGAGAAGAAGCTGCCCACGTGCCCGGGCGGGGGGGGGGGCTGGAGTTGCGCGCCGCTCGCACCGCGTCCCGCTGGGCCTCCTCCAGCGTCGCGACGACTTCCCCACAGTCGCATTTGATACGCTGTTATTCTCCCCAGCTCAATTGATCCAACCTCGGGCTCCTGCGGCTGTTCGCGGGCCACGGGATCTGCTAAAGACGACCCCCCGCAGCAGGCCCAGAGATGGCGCCGAGAGCTCGCGGGCCCGCGTTCTGAGAAAATATGCACGGAGGTGGAGGTCTGCCCACCTCAGCTTCGAATAGGGGATCGACTACATACATTGATTTATCCCAAACTTGACTTCTTTTTCGAATCTGCAAACATAGGTAGACTGCTCCGTATATCCACGGAGCATTCCACGCTTTTTTTTGGGTTTGTTTGCAGATTCGAAGGAACAATGTTGGGGTACACCAATTAATTCTGTAGCTGATACCCTACTCGAAGGCTTCCGACGCCGTTTTTTTCAGCACCTCGGCCCCTGGGGCTCCCATCCATCCCCCAGCGCTTGCTTCTTCTCCCCTGGTCGGCCTCGGCGCGCAAAGGTGCCCTGTCGACAGGGTGACCTCTGCTGGTGTGCTGCATGGGGCGCCTTAGGGGGTGGTGGGGGTTACTTCCAGGATCAGTCGACTCGCTGAAATGAGGAATAAGGTCCGCCTCGGGGGTTCATGAGGGGCTCTGGCCTCCAGACCGTCCCTCAGATCCAGGTCGGGGAACCTATTCTCGTTGCCGAGGCTCGCCGTGGCCAGAAAAGGCCCTTCGTTCCTTATTCAGCGTTCCTGATGGTAGCACGATGATTGTATCCCGTGGTTGTCCCGTGCTGTTGTCCCACGGTTGCCCCGACGAGGCTCAGGCTCGAGGGGCAGTGCGGCCCCATACCTTCGATCGATTCTCCCGCCCTGGCGCCCAGCAGCTGTTTGTCGGTCGCGGGAGGCAGCCCTCGATCAGGAGGAGATCCAGGACGACAAGCTGGCCCCAGGGGAGACGTCTTCCTGGCTGGCCACTGTAGAGCACTCGCTCGGATCGGTCATGGCCCCGTGAGGGGCAGCGGGCTGAGTCCCCGCAGGCGTTCGGAGTCAAACGTGTGTACGGCTCTCGTTGCGCTGCTGTTGAACCAAGAAAGCTGGCCCCAGGGGGAGGGGGTCGCCGAGAGCTCCGAGGGGGCCACCGGGGGCTGCACGCGCCCATGCTGCGCGAGCGGCCTGGGGCCCCCGCGCCCCTGCCCGCGGGGTGGGTGGGCGCCCGAGGCGCACGCGAAGGAGGGAAGGCTCGGGGGAGGGGGCGCGCACAGAATCGGCATCGCTCGGGCGTGTGCGTTTTTTTATCGGCGAGGGACATCGAGGAGCATCTTGGAGCGTCTTGCGAAACAAATCCACGCACGGCATCGACAGATGCACGGGCAATGGACGCCCGAGCGATGGCGAGCAAGAGGTGCGGAAGGTTTTTGGTAGTTTTCGGGCCTGGGGGCCCTTCGCCAGGCCCCAGGACCGTCAAGCGGCGCCCTGGGATGAAGAAGCCGGTCCTCGGGAACGGTCCAGGCTTCTCGGGGTCCACGGTGTGAGAAGCTCGCGACGTCGGAGGTCTTGGGGAGCAGGATATGGGGGGGGGCTGGGCGGAGGGACCTCTGCGAGGTACTACGTCTTGACTGGCGGTGGTCCTGGCGTCATGGAGGCGCCCACCCGCTCGGGCGTTGCGTAAGGGGTCGGCGAGAAATGGGGGGGGGAAGGAGGGTACACCCGTCGTGCACCGTACAGTCGGGACGTTGAAATAAGGACCACTTTCGGCCCAGGAGGGGCTCTGGTTTTTGAGTAGTTCCTGAGCCTCGTGTCGGGGAGCCTATTCATGACCGAGGCTCGCCGTGGCCTGAAAAGCCCCTTCGTTCCTTATCCAGCGTTCCTGATGGTAGCGCGATTGCTCTAGGGCCCTAACGAGGCCCCCCTGGGGCCCACGAGGGGCGCGAAAGGTGCACGTGCCGCACCTTGCCGGCGTTATCCCGTTGCCCTTTGACCTGGCCTTTGGCGTGTGGCGGCAGCCACTTTTTGGCGCCAGCTGTGGCAGCATGTTGTTCGCTGAACAGTCTCCTCCCCCCTGGATAAAGACAGCGGAGGGTGGATCGTTCTAGCGAAAAGACGCTTGTTCGAGCAGCAGAGAGCACAGAGCAGCAGAGAGCACAGAGCAGGAGAGAGCAGAGCAGCAGAGAGCACAGAGCAGCACAGCAGCAGAGAGCACAGAGCAGCAGAGAGCACAGAGCAGCAGAGAGCACAGAGCAGCAGAGAGCACAGAGCAGCAGAGAGCACAGAGCAGCAGAGAGCACAGAGCAGCAGAGAGCACAGAGCAGCAGAGAGCACAGAGCAGCAGAGAGCACAGAGCAGCAGAGAGAGCAGCAGAGAGCACAGCAGCAGAGAGCACAGAGCAGCAGAGAGCACAGAGCAGCAGAGAGCACAGAGCAGCAGAGTGCACAGAGCAGCAGAGAGCACAGCAGCAGAGAGCACAGAGCAGCAGAGAGCACAGAGCAGCAGAGAGCACAGAGCAGCAGAGAGCACAGCTTGGAGTTTTCCAGCTTCAGGGTGTAAGCGGTGGGGAAGTCAGACGACACGGCCAGTCTGGCCTCTGGGTCCTTTTCTTCTGGGCGATCTGGGAGGCATCTCAGGCCGCTTGGGCTTTCGGAGGCCCGAAAAGGCGAGGGAGCGAACACGCGTCGACACAAAAGATACACAACTTTTCTGGATCCTCCTGGACCGTCCCGGGGACCGAGGACCTGCGACTGGGGACTGGGGACCAGGGACGGAGCCAGGGGACCCAGAACTGGGGATCGGGACCGGGGACCACGCACCGGGGAGTGGGGACCGGGGACCAGGGACCAGGCACTGGGGAGCGGGGACTGGGGACAAGGGGGCTGGGACTGGGGACTGGGGGCGGGGACCGGCGACCAAGGACTGTGGACCGGCCGGGGACCGGGGACCCGGGACCGGGGACGAGGGACCGAGGACCAGGGACTTGGGGCTGTGACCCAGGACTGCGGGACCCGGGACCGGGGACCGGGGACCGGTATCGTAATCGTCATCCGACCGTTGTCAGTAGAGCAGTCCTCATCATCAGCATTATGATCCTCCTCCATTTTGGCTCAACGTCCGCGAGGTGAGTGCATCTCCTCCTGGCATCTCAATCGAACAACTGCTCTTTCTTACCTTGTACATCTGCTCTTTCTTATCCTTTCAAGCCATAGTCGCCTCAGTCATGGCGTACAAGCTAATCATCGCGACGGCGTCCGCGTTCGCTTCCATGGTGGGCGCCGAGCTGCACCTCATCCAGGTGTCCGTGCACGGGTCGGACGGCACTGAGGCGTCCACGCCAGCACCGACCCCAGCACCAGCGATGGCCTGCGCGGAGCAAGGGTGGAATGGTAATGGCATTCCATTTCGCATCGGTTTTTCGATTCACGTTACTTCTTCTTTTCCTAACATCGTCTCTTCTCATCTTCTTTTGGGGAGTGGCTACAATCCCTACATGGCTATCTACGGGCCTGGGATGCCTGGGGTGAATGCGGGGACCTTTCAGATGCTTTTCCAGTTTAATGCCCTGTCGATTCCCTCAACGACTTACCGTGTGACGTTGCCAGTTGGCCTTGATCAGTACTATGAGATGGTCATCGTGAGTGAAAGCGACTTCGCCTGCTACGTCAACGGCCAACAGGTATTCAACACACAAGTGGACCAGCCCGTGTTCTCGTCCTACGGCACCGCGCTGGCATCTCTGCCTCCCCTGGACGGAGCATTGAATACCCTCAGTCCGAGCACATTCCCAGCGGACTCTGCAGAGAGGTATAGGATCTGTGACTTTTCAGTGACCAGGGCCATTTCAAACTCGACGTGCTATGATCCCTCGTCGCTATCGACGTGCCTCGCCGCGCCGACCCCGAGCCCGACGCCGAGCCCCACGCCCCACCCGACGGCTCCAACGCCAGCGCCTACCTTCGAGCCGACGATGGATTTGTGGTTGCCAGTGCTGAGCACTGATCATGCGGGTGGCACCGTCGGTCGGTATTTCAATTTCGATTGGGTGGCGGAGCTTGGATCTGGAACGGTTTACTGGCCAGATTTGAGGCAATGCCGCGGTGGGGTGGAGCTTGCGGTTGGTTCTGGTGTGCTTTGGCAAGGTACCAATGGTGGAACGGCCGGCAATTCTCATGGACGTTTCGACAGTGCAAGTGAATCTGCGATTCATCGTGATTGGAAAGTGGGTGATACCGCTACAAATGGAAGCTGTCAGCCCAGTCCCACGCCCAGTCCGACGCCCAGTCCGACCCCTGGCCCCACGCCAAGCCCGACGCCGTACCCGACGGCCTTCCCGACGCCGTATCCGACGGCTGACGCTCCGCTATTCGCATGCGATTTCGATGATGCTTCGGATCTTGGCAAAAACACTGCTGGTACGGAATCCACGGGTTTGCGCACGTTCTACGGGTCTTGTAAGCAGACGTCCGGCAAAAACAGCGTTGGAGCTGTTTCCTTCGAGAGCTTTTCAGGTGCAGCAGAATTTTCAGTTGGAGCGACGGGCGATACCTTCAGTATGTTGTTGTGGATGGACATGCGGGCACACAATCCGTTTACTTATGGTCGGTCTTACCTGATTGATTTTAGACCTAATGGGCAAGGGGCATTATATTTTGACAGCGATAACACGATTAAATTTAACAGCATGTACGGGAATTGCCAGGGTGAGGCTTCGTGGGAGAGATCATTTGCCTACGCGCCAGCGTTTGACACATGGGTGCACTTTGCTATCGTCTCAGACCCTTCAGGGACGCGCCTGTTCAAGGACGGTACGTTGTTGTATGAGGCTCTCGCATCGAGTTGTGGCACATCGTACAGCACCGCTTTGGTCGACAAAGCAGTTCTTGGCTCTTACTTCGGATCAGTTGGCAATTCAGGGTCGTACTTCTTGGATGCTGCCATCGACGACCTCCAGTTTTACAGGTCGGCGTTATCAGCGCAAGAGGTACACGACATCTACGCTGCGACGCCAGCACCGACGCCGGCGCCTATTCCCGCGCCCCTGACGGCCGATCCGACGCCACACCCAACTGCCTTCCCGACGCCTTACCCGACGGCGTTTCCGACGCCGTACCCGACGGCCTTCCCGACGGCCGACCCGACTTCGTACCCGACGGCCTTCCCGACGCCGTATCCGACAGCCTCAAGCCCTAAGGCCGTCCCGGCGACAGTGTCGTCTGCAGTTGGCGATCCGCATCTGCAGAACATTCATGGTGAGCGATTCGACCTGATGAAGACGGGCAGGCACGTCTTGATCCATATCCCACGAAGGGACGATAAGAACACTCTGCTTCGTGTGGACGGGGACGTGCAAAGGCTGGGTGGGCAATGCGCTGACATTTATCCGTAAGGGCTTCGCTCCATGCCGCCGGCCCCCTGTCTCGGATAATGGGAGACGCAAAAGCTAAATCATGAGGTCTGGGCGCCGCCGTGAAGCAGTGTCGGGACCTGTTTGTTTTTCGACCCTGACCCTACGGATCTACGTGAGGGGTGCCACGGAATTTCAGAAATGTCGCAAATCCCATGTGTTTTTGGACCCTGACCCCACGGATCTGCTTGAGGGGTGCCGCCGAATTTCAGAAATGTGGCAAATCCCTTGTGTTTTTGGACCCTGACCCTGTCGATCCCCGTGAGGGGTGCCACCGAATTCCAGAAATGTTGAGAATCCCTTGGGTTTTCGGACCCTGACCCCGCCGATCTGCGTGAGTGGTGCCATCGAATTTCAAAAATGTAGCAAATCCCATATGTTTTTGGACCTTGACCCCGCCGATCTGCGTGAGGGGTGTCAGCAAATTTCAGAACTGTGGCAAATCCCATGTGTTTTTGGACCCTGACCCCGCCGATCTGCGTGAGGGGTGTTGCCCGTGTCAGAAGTGTTGAGAATCCTATGTGTTTTTGGACCTTGACCTTGCCGATCTGCGTGAGGGGCGTCAGCAAATTTCAGAACTGTGGCAAATCCCATGTGTTTTTGGACCCTGACCCCGCCGATCTGCGTGAGCGGTGCCAGCAAATTTCAGAAATGCGGCAAATCCCATGTGTTTTTGGACCCTGACCCCGCCGATCTGCGTGAGGTGTATAAATTTTCACCCACCCCAGCAATTCAGAGCACACGCTCAGGGCGTGCTAAACCTGCCCGTGTGGGCCTCCCCCCCCTCGCGCGGTCCACCAACAAGGAACAGTAAGCAGCAAGAAGCAGAACTGTAACAGTGGAAACTGGAAGCTGCAACTGGTACAGGAAACTGCGAACCTTAGGCCTACAGCCTGGTGGCCCCACAAGGGGGCCAGCGGATTTTCAAGAGCTGAACATCACAGGGTCGTGGGCGAATGTGAAGCGCGCTGGCGGTTTTCACTACAGCGCTCAGGTCATCGGCTACCACCGCCCCCGCTGGGTCAAGTTCGGGACAGTCCATGTGAAGGTCGCCCACGGGCGCACACAACAGGGCTTCAGATATCTAAACCTCTACGTGAAGAACCTCGGCCGCGCTGGGTATCAAGTCGGAGGTTTACTCGGCGAAGATGACCACACCAAGGAAGCGATACCGCCCAAGGCGTGCCACCACCGGGTCGCCTTATAAACAAGGCGTTGCGATGGCTGCTACCTCAATGCTGTACTGAGCGGGGTGCATGGCTTCTCCTCCTGTTCCTCCGCTCCCGGATGGGGCAAATGAGCCAGCATGGCCACATGCCTACTGCTGCCCGGCCACATGCCTATTGCAAGTTTTGGGGTCTGAAGGTTTCTTCGGACACCCATCCATATTCTGATTTGGGTGGACTCGCTGCTCAGCTGGAGCAGCAGGGTTGTCCTCTGTACGCGCGCTGTTGCGCCAGCTCCACTGTGAGACTTCCCGTGGCTTGCCTTTTGCTGCAGCGTCTACTACAGTGAATCTTGTCTTGACGTGTCGGGAAACACGCCTTACACATTCTTTTGAGTCCCATTACGGCTTGGCCTCCACGTTGGCGCGCTGGGGTGTGCCGGCCTCCTCGAAGAGTTAGCTGGCGTCATCATGAGGGGGAATTCATAGTCTTGAGCGCCGAACAGATTTCTTCGCCACAGGGCCTCAAAGTTTTCCTTTGAGGCATGGGCTGTATGCGGGCGCGCGTGCAGCAAAGGCTTTGTCCAGAGCTGTTCGGTCCAGCCTTCCTCGCGTGCCCCCTATCCACACCCTCCTCCTCCTCTTCCTTCCTCCCTCTTGGCTTGTCTCCCCTCTTCCATTTTCCATGTGTCATGCGCTTTGCAGCGTCTGCGGCGGATCCCCAGCCCATCCCAGAGTTGTCCGCTCGCTGCGGGTTCTCTTCGATGTCGCTGATGCGGTAACGTGGCCGCGCCTGGAGAGCGCATGTTCTTCCCTTTTCCTCCCTTCTGTCGAGGACTGTGTCCTCGACCTCTGCCTCTTCCACTTGTATGTTATTTCCTCTGATCTGTCAGCCACCCCGCTCCGGATGCGCGCGAAGCTCATCTTCATGGGTTTCTTCGTCCCCATCATCACCATCATCAGCATCACCACCATCACCACCATCATCATCATCATCATCATCATCATCATCATCATCATCATCATCAGCAGCAGCATCATCATCATCATTATCCTCATCATCATCATCATCATCATCATCATCGTCGTCATCATCATCAACATCATCATCATCATCATTCTTATCATCAACACCATCCTCCTCATCATCATCACCACCATCATCAACACCAGCATTATAAGTACACCTGAGAAGACCCAATCAGTGGATGATTTGAAAATTGATACTATGGATCTTGAGGTCGATTGTAAGGTCGATAATGAGATCGATATCGGAATCGATAGTGAGGACGATTGTAAGGTCGATCGTGAGACCGAGAGTGACATCGATTTAATGAGATCGATCGTGAGATCGATCGCGAGATCGCTCATGCGATCTCTAGTGAGATGGCTTGTGGGATTGACAGTGAGATCGATAGTGAGATCGATGGTGAGATCGATCGCGAAGTCGGTAATGAGATCGATGGTGAGGCTGATCGAAAAGATGATCGACCAGGAACCCGGGAACCTGGGAACCTCGCCGCCCTCCGAAATCGGCACGGAACCCGGAACCGGGAACTCGGGAACCCGGAATCGGGAACCTTGGGAACCCGGGAACCCAGCCTGCCACCAACATCGGCGGGGATTTTTCGCCAAATCTTTCAGCTTCCGCTAGGACCCCTTCAGTGCAAGCACTGATTGGGGATCATCCTTACCATCACCGTTCTCACCGTTATCATCGTCATCGTCCTCCTCATTATCATTCTGAGCATCGTCATCAACATCCATCATCATTATCATCATCATCATCATCATCATCATCATCATCATCATCATCATCATCATCATCATCATCATCATCATCATCATCATCATCATCATCATCATCATCATCATCATCATCATTACCAACATCATCGTCCGTAGCAATTTTGGCCCACGCAACTTCTTTCCATACCCAGTCTTCAGTCGCGCGCATTTTGGGCCGCACGGAATGGCGGCGCGAGAAGAGGGAGGAGCTCGGGGCTACGGGGGGCCGCCCGATCCGCCCATGGCGGGGCTGCCCAGTGCACTTCGGTCCGCTGAGACCACGCTGCTTGGCCCGACTGCGGCGCGGCGCCAGGCGCGGCGGTGGCGATTGCAGTCCGCTGTGAACGCGGTCCGTGGCCGCGCGTCGCGAGTCCAGCCTGGCTCGTGGCGCGATCGCGAGGCAGCCGCTCGGGCTGCGCTGCGTCTCGCCGTGGACGGGCGGCGCGTCCCTGGCAGCAGCCGCCAGCGGCGCAGCGCGGCCCTGCACGCCAGGCGGGTCCCCCAAGGAGGCTTTGCTGACGCCTCGCGGGCGGCCCTGGCTCGGGCGGCTGCTGGCCCGCGTCTGGGAGCGGCGCCGGGGTCGCCAGACGGGCCAGGGGGCGGGAGCTCAGTTGAGCCGCCGTTGCCCCTCGCCGAGCAGCAGGGCGCACTGCTGGTCTCGCTGCCCGAGGCGATCGCGGTGCATAAACTCGAGATGCTTGCCCTCCCCGATCGGTTGCCGGTGTTTCAGGTGTCAGGCGGAGCCGGTTGGTCTCTCGCAGAGAGCCCCCTTCAGCTCTCGGTGGCGCTCGAGGAGGAGCTGCGGACCATGGGGCAGCTGCAGCGGCTTCGGCGGCGAGGAGGTGCGCGAGTTCATCGTCTCCGACGCGGTTCCGTACCCCGATCGCTGTCCGAGGACGAGGGCGCGTCACAGCTGACCATGCTGAGGGATGAGCTGCACCATGCCGCGTCGGACTGCACCCGGTACAGCTCTCTGGTCGCGAAGCCGGCTCGGTACATCTGTTCGCTGCAGGAATGATGGGCTGTCGCGGAGCACGCGGTGACGGCGCAGCTCGCCTCGCTCAGGGAGCAGCTGCAGGTGTACGTCGCGCGGAGCACGTGCGAGGCGGCCGACCTGGTGCCTGCGGCCGTGGGGGAGCACTACGACGACGCATCCGACGGCTTTCTCTCGTCCCTCGTGGTGGAGGATCGAGGCGGAGAGGGCGCGTCCGCCGACGGGTTCGACGACTTCGATGTCCTCCTCGATGGGGCTGGGGTCCTTCGGGTTTTGCATTTCCTGCCCACTGTCACCGACGGATCAAGCGGCTTCAGGGCTCTCACAGGCATGACATGGCAGGGAGGGATTCCGCAGACATGGGGTGCCTCGCCGACGAGCTGCGTCGGGCGGCTGCGACGTCCGTTCCCGAGGAGCTTGAGGGCGAGATGGTGGCTGTGGTTCCCAAGGGCGCCGCGGCGCCTGGAGTCCACGTTGGCGAGATCGAGTGGGATGCCCAGCAGGCGATCATCAAGCAGCGCTGTGCAGCGCCGGGGAGGCTCAGAGTCCTCCGCGGCGTTGGCCCAGTAGCTGTGGGTGACGCCATCGCCCTTGCAGGGCCAGGCGGCGACGGGTTCGGCAGCGGCGGCGGCCGAACATTTCCCAACGGAGGCGAGGCTGCTTGTCTGCGGGTGAGCTTCTGGAGGTGGCGGCCGCCTCGCGGATGGCCCTCGCGGGGGCCAACCTTCTCTTAGGGGTCCCACTCGAGGCGCCCCTGGCCTTTGAAGCAGGCCTCGAGGGACCCGTGTGTGGGAGGGTGGAGTAGTTGCTCAGATGGCCGAGGAGTTTGCTCGCCAGTTGCTGCCGCTGTCCATTCATATTTCTGGCGATCGGCACGGCCGTGTCGCTCTGCGGCGCTGCGCGCTCGTGCCGAGGAGCACCCTATTGCGAAGGCTTTGCGCTCGCTGGGTTCTCTCTCTGCGGGCGCCTTCGGCCGTGCGCTCAGCTCTAAGCGCTGGGGTGCGTGGCTCACTGATGGAGCGACCAATGTAGCTGAGCGTGCACGCGCCCGCCATCTTGTGGGGCCTTCGAAGCCCTCCACAAGGGGCTCTTTCTCGTTGGCCCTGCTGCCAGCATTGCCATGGAGCTCCGGCCCCCCGCGACTCGGGGCCCATCGGCCCGTCCAGTGCGGTGTCGTTCGGGTGGGAAGGGGCCCTGTGGTGTAGGCGCAGCCCCTGGCGGGCTCAGCGCGCTCCTGGGTTCCCTTCCCGCCGCCTCTGCTCGTGGCGCCAGGCAGGTCCGAGAATCGCGAATGCCTGCGACGAGCGTACATGCCTTCGGATGGCCCCGTGGTCTAGAGTGTGCCCTGCGGGGTTCGGCGCGCGCCAGGGTTCGCTCCCTCCCGCCCCTCTTGGGCTCGCGTCATCCTGTGCTGTGCCTTTGCTCGTGGCGCCAGGCGGGCCAGAGGATCAATCATGCCTGCGACGAGAGAGGGTGCCCGTGCCGCCGCCGCTCGCAGGGTTGCAATGTTTCAGCTGCGTACCAGCCCCGTTCACCGCTGCTGCACTGGTGCTCGCGCCCTCGGTGGAGGCTGGACCGCAGGTGTAGGTGGTTCGCTACCGACGCTCAGGATCGCCTCCGGACGCCACTGCAGAACAAGGGTGCCCGCCTTGAGGCCCAGGCCGAGTGAGGATTGTCTTGCTCTGCGATGGCGCGTGTTGTGCCGCCGCCTGCGAGGCTGAGTCGCCGTGCCTGCTACGATGACGCGACTTCTGCTTGCTTCGGCTCTGGCGATGGGCGCCTTCCTGGCGCTCAGGTGAATCTGCGAGTGTGCCTAGGGCGCGAGGCTGAGCGTTGCCGCCGCAGGGCCAGAGGGAAATGCTTCGGTCCGAGGGGCAGTATGAGCTGGGAGCTCCTGGCCTCTTTGGACGCGTGGGTCATCATCATCGTCATCATTATTATCATCACCATCATCATCACCGTTATCATATGCGTAGTCGTAACCATCGTCATCGCCATTATCAGCATCACCATCATCATCATCATCGAAATCATAATCGGCATCATTCTCTACGTAATGTCAGCTTGCGATTAACAGATAACGCATGATGCCCCCCGTGCGCTGATGAAGAGATCCCGCGGGGCGCGATATATGTTTTAATCGCGCGCGCCAGGGTGTCGTTGCGGCCGCCGCCGATGGGCTCGTGTACCCCCTGCACGGTAGCG